TAGTCCTACCCACAGAACTGAAACCAAACTGAACAGTGGATGTTCATCATGATGCTTCCTGAGCTGCTGCTGTAACAAGTTTTAAATCTCATAAATGTTCATAATTATAAAGTTTCCTCTTTGAATATTATAGTTAAACGTTAAATATTAAACTTTGACTGTGAACACTAAACTGCCAACAGACGATGGAGGCTTGGCCCAGACATCAGCCGTCTACAGCCCCAAATACTGGCCTTAGCCCCCAGGGGCTCTGAGATTGGTTCAGTGCTGCTGTGCATGCACATAACTTTGCCATATAAAGTGAAATAATAAGGACAAAGGTCAGATATTTTATATGCAGACTGTTGTACATGCACTTACATTTAAATACTGTGTTTTGGTTTTAGCTGTGTGGTTTCACTTTGAAGACTCGCATGTCGCTGGCCAGTTGGATGTAAGATGACAGTTTCTGATTTGTAGAGTCTTCTGGCTCTTAAACTAAAATATACAACTTCCAGTAGTAACCATGACTCAGCCACGAGTCTTATGAGGCTCGAGTCGCCTGTATATTGTCTGCTGCAAATTCTCCAGAGTGATTCTTCTGTCTGTCTGCCGGCCAGTTCAGCTTTCCAGCTTGCAACTGTGTCCAACATTAACCCCCCCTCAACCTGCTCCTCGCTGTCTTTTTACAACCGTTACAAAAATCCTCCATTAGTTTGGTTATTGGTGCTGAACTGACCGATACGTCTGAGTGTTTACTGGCACCTTTACGTTTTTTGACACTGGACTTTGTTAACTTGTCATCACCGTGTCGTGTCCTAACCTTTTAACTGGAAGATGCGTTCGCTAACATCTGTGTCATCAGGTCTGGGGAGCACTCAGAGTGATGGAGAGCAAACATCTGCTTTTGTTGTGTTTGGAGCATGTGTTGTTCAGTGCATGCGGGGTGAGAACTGCAATCGTGGAAGGTCTGTTTGATTTGATCAGAAAGGTCGGTTCTAAGGCTATGTTTACGTACTTGCATAAAAAACAGATGAGGTTGTGAAAAGGCCTGAAGTGTAACAGTGCATTCAGTTCCGTTACATTAGTGTCTCGTATTTTAAACCCCTATTTGAAAGGTTTGGCAAAGAAATATTTACCTCTCCCAGCCCGACCTCTTCCATAATTTGACCTTAACATCTCAGGGTCCCCACATTATATCAACAGATTACTCTTCATCCTTTAACCTGAGAAACGCAGTTGTATCATATATGTACATCAAGCTTTACAAATAAGTCACTGCCTGCTGTACATATACTGTTGTGCATTGCTTTCTCATTTTCAATGTTATTTCAAGGTCACAATTCAGTTATGTTCTATTAAACCTAAATGAACCAAGAAACACATCTTATAACACAAATAAGGTGTTTTACATCTACTCCGCGCCTTGGCTTGGGAGTTACGTTAGTTCCACACTGCAGCTTTCTCTTCCTCCGTAACTCCAGCCTGCACTTCATTAGCCTTGTTCTATTCCCTGAAGATGTGACTCCTCTTTTCCGGGATGGAGGAATGTTTCTCCCTCAGGTCCGACTGATGGAATGGGCTGAGGCCGGGACAGGGGCCTGGGCCTGTTTGTTCAGGATGTGTTGAGAGGGAAGGAGGGAGGTAAGGGAGATGGTCAAACTCCGCCCAGCCCTTCCCCACAAATCCCTGGGTCTCATGGCTGAAAATCACTGCCAGCTGAGCCGACATGCTTATCCATGCCTACATCAGAACCAGCGGGAGCTCCGGCTGGATAAAGAGCCAGACGGAGGGACAGACACCGTTGAGTAGCTGCTGCTAATATAGAGAGATCATATTTCAACGGCTGTGCTGTTGCTACCAGGAAGTGGTCCTTGGACAACTGTCATTGCTTCATCCTTTACCTCCAACAGCGTTTTGATATATACAACCTACATCTACAGTTTCTTTTTTTCTCCTCTTTCTCGCACTAAGCACTTATTCCCACTTTACATCCACAACTCCACACACTCTGTCTGGATGCATGGCTGATAGAAAGTGAAGTGGAAAGAGAGAGAGAAGAAAATGGACCTGGGTACAGGTCTCAGTGGCGAAAGGCAAAGTCAGTTCTGTAGCGGCAGTTTTGACTTTGTGCCTCGAATGTGTTTGGAGGTGACCGAGTGAGAGAGCAGACCTCAGAGGAGCGCTGTAGTAACTATTAACAGCAGCTTGACGTTTATTGTGTCGTCAGTCATTTCATTTCGATTCATTACCACGGCTGTATTGTCATATTGTCAGTAAATAATGACGAGCAATCAGCAAAAACAATTACTCCCATCTCTCTTTAAATAGTACAATAGAAAACAAAACAACGAAACATGATTAAACTAAGAATCTGCAGCCACATGAATCTCTGAGAGGATATTCAGACAACAGGGCTTTGAGTTAATGTCTAAAAAAAATATAGAGAACACCAGAATTGCATTGCGAGAATTAATATCTCTGCCAAAGCCCAACAGTCATTTTATGAAACCACTTTTAAAATAACTAACTTTTATTTGGATCTTCACACACTCAGAAATAACAGTCTCACAAACATGACTTGTTTTTGTTCACCGGATCCATGAATTATTCCCTGAGCAATCAAAAAAAATTTCAGTGCACCAAAGAAAGAAAAAATATATTCCTGGATCTGATCCAGATCTTCACCAAGTTTAATGGTTGCTTCCCTGACCCGGTGAAAACAACCTCCTTGGCAGAGTTAACAAAAAATGTGCCATACTGTACTCTTACTATACAAATACTATAAACCTATATGTACAAACTACACAAATCCTTACATTTGCAAAAGTGTGCCACATGTTTTAAGTTCCTCTGTTTTATATTTTTGATCCTTTAAATTAAATAAAATATATTTACATGTCCATTCAGGCCTTTTCTTATTTAAAATATGAATTTGAACTTCTTTCCTTTATTTCCATGATCACTTTATCCAGGTCAGCCATCAAACTTCTATCAAGAAATGAAAAAATACAAAACCTGCCAGCACTATTCTGGTGCTGTGACATAGAGCAAGGTGTGACTTTTAACTCCAGCAAAGGCAGCTTCACATGACAGATGGTCGGGGAGGTTTGTCCCACTGGTGATTATGCAAAGAAGCATGATAGTCAGTCAGTGGGCCCTGTGCAAGGTATTGTGTTGAACCAGCAGTGTGATGTATGTGGTCCACACTTTGCATATGTGAATCTCCTCTGTGTCACCTTGTCTGATAACGAACAGGTCATCACTTCTCAGACAGGCAAGGATAATGTGAGGCACAAGAATTCACTCTGCTGCAGCATATGGTGGAATTCAACTCCTGCACTGCTTCATAACTTAATAATGTCTCCATTATTTGCAGTTGGAATTAGACAGAATACTTTCTGGACGTTATTGATCCCAACAGTTATTTGGCAGTAAAATTCAGTGTTTTAATATTTCACCCTCAAATGTTAGGTTGAATAACAGTCATGCTTTTTGATGTTTTCCTCAAAACATTTCTGTCCGTCTTCAAAGCTGATCTGTCACAGCAGCTCATGCATGTAAGAGTCATTTGTTGGGCCTTGGAGATTTGTGCTCTACTTAGTCATTTTAGTAACTTTATATTTCACTTTTACGACATAATATAGTTTTATAATACAATTATTAAGATACAATAAAATAAAGATAGGAATCGGCAGACAAAAGGGGACAACGTTTTAGGTTGTGAATTAGATCCAAATTCACTAAATGGCATGTCGTAGCTTGAGGCAGACTTATTATATTAATGTTCACAGGCTGTGGAGAAGCTCGGACGCACATCTTTTGTTAAACTTCTTGTTGTCGCACTGTGTTGACAGAAGTTCCTAATCTCTAAATCTATATTTCGTAAAGAGCAAAATACATAGAGCGAGTTTACTGACACATCTGCTGTGTGAACTTTTGACCATATTCAGTTCCACTTTTTCACCCACCACTGTTTGCTGTTTGCTGGCAGGCTGTTGTTACTGACTGTTGATTGGAGGCTGTCTAATGAAGGAAGTGGATTGTGTACACTGCATGGGTGTGTCGCATCACAGTTCAAACACACAAGACTGCCAGCGTGCAGTGAGTGCAATGTACCATGGAGGAGAAGAAATGTTGGCGTGAGATTAGTTTTTGAGAAGGTGGGCACCGCACATATACCCACTTTGGTCTTTTGAAGGGGCTGCTGAAGTTGTATTTGCTCTGTCGTGCTGCTCTGACCTGGACTTTGTAACATGTATTGGAGCAATGTGTCCGGCCGACATGATGCAACTCCCCGTTGGCACATGACGTGAAATCAGCTTTAGTTTCCTGGAGGAGCCTGTGTACTCTGGACTTGACTCTGCTGAGAGAATGGTGGACAAGATATGGAGGAAGAGTTGGCAGTTCATAGAAAACAGACGATCTGTGCGCAGTAAGCATTCGCCTTGTAAAGCGGCAGAGTGCAAGAGTGAGTGAGTAACCTTTCGTTTGTTCCTTCACTGTAGTTGTGTAAGAGGTCACAAGGATGACAGATGACTGGATGTGTTTAATACTTGGAGAGTGTTTACGTGGCATTTGATTATATACTGAGTCTAGCATGGCAGGCTGTAGTTATTACAGAGATATACCAGTATTAGTCAGCTTTCTACTTTTAAGCCCCTCATTTACTCTACAGTACCCTCCTGTAATGTCGTACTTGCTTGTTGAAACAGTAACTAAATGCTTCACAACCAACAATGTAAAACTTACAATACGAAAAGAAATCAGAATAAAATAATGTAATATTAGTAAAGATTCCGATAATAAAAGCAATATACATCACATGATAAAATGTTTTTTATAAAGATGTGTCTTAAGAAGTGAATCTAATCTCCAAATTCTAGTTAAACTGAAAAAAACATTTTCTATATACTTCAATCAGATTGATCCTGGTTGATTCTGAATTCAAAAACTTCTCATTGTTGAACTGAAGATTAGAACTCTAATCATCTCTTTGCTCTCTCTCTCTCTCTCCGCAGTGTGGAAGGGGATGGACGGTCCAATGAGAGTGGCCCTTCCCTGGACGGTGGAGCCAGCTATGGCCAGGGTCCGGTGACCCACGGCTCGGCCATCAGCCCCGACAGATTTGACAGCCCGCTTTACAGCCACGGGGTCCAACCTGGCCCTCAGAGGCCCCGTCGGCCCAAGCTTCAGCACTCACAGTCCATCCTCCGTAAGCAGGCTGAGGAAGAGGCCATCAAGCGGTCCCGTTCGCTCTCCGAGAGCTATGAGCTCTCCGCTGACCTTCAGGACAAACAGGTATTCTAGAGTAGCCTTGACGGATTGTTTGTTTTGGAGTTGGTCAGAGTTTCTCTTGTTCTCATGACACTCAACATGTTGAAAGACCAGCTACAGTTAAAAAAAACAATTAGATATTTAATTTTCTCCTTCTCCGCTCTAGGTGGAGATGCTGGAGCGCAAATATGGTGGACGATTCATAACTCGGCATGCAGCCCGCACCATCCAGACAGCTTTCCGCCAGTATCAGATGAACAAGAACTTTGAACGTCTCAGGAGCTCCATGTCTGAGAACCGAATGTCCAGACGCATTGTTCTGTCCAATATGAGGATGCAGCTGTCGTTTGAGGGTCCTGAGAAAGTGCACAGCTCCTATTTCGAGGGGAGACAGGTGTCCATGACGGAAGATGGCACACCGCTGTCCATGGTGCAGTCTGAATGTGGAGATATAGAGGTTCACCAACAGGCTAACATGGTGTCTCACCCACCTCCGCAGAGTGACCTAACCGACGCCATCACGGAGCTGGAGGACGCCTTTTCCCGGCAGGTCAAGTCTCTGGCTGAGTCGATAGACGATGCACTGAACTGTCGCAGCCTTCAGGGGGACGAGGGCCCTGACCCCGACACCATGGGCTGCTCCGAGGTGGAGAGGAAAGTGCCCTATCAGGTGAAGTCCCACCGCAGGGCAGCTGGACGCATGCACGATGAAACCATGGCATCATATAGTGATGTCACTCTGTTCATCGACGAGGAGGACATGTCCCCCTCTATCGCTCTGTCAAGGTCAGGGGAGCAACCTTCCAGCACAGAATCAGACTTGCGGTTGCGGTCAGTCAACTCCTCGCAGGAGTACTGGCCTATTGACCCTAAAGATGAGGGCCGTGACACAGACACTAGCTGCCGCAGCACTCCTTCTCTGGAGTGCCAGGAGCAGCGTCTTAGAATGGACCATCTTCCTCTGTTGACCATTGAACCCCCTAGTGACAGCTCTGTAGAGCTCAGTGACCGCTCTGACCGGGGCTCTGTCAAACGGCCGCCTGTGTACGAGCCGCACGGCCACATCGTAACGTCGTCCCAGGCGAGCCCTAAACACATTTCCCACGGACCCCCGCTGCGAGCTCCGTCCCGTGACGACGACGCACCTCTGCGCCACCGCCACCGCCAGCTGGAGAGCCACCTCGCCATCAACGGCTCGGCCAACAGGCAGAGCAAGTCAGAATCCGACTTCTCTGACGGGGACAACGACAGCATCAACAGCACGTCCAACTCCAACGACACCATCAACTGCAGCTCCGAGTCGTCGTCGAGAGACAGCCTCCGAGAGCAGACGCTCAGCAAACAGACTTACCACAAAGAGACCCGCAACAGCTGGGACTCGCCCATCTTCAGCAATGATGTGATCCGCAAGAGACACTATCGCATCGGCCTGAATCTCTTCAACAAGTAGGTACTCGGCTCTGACGGAGCAGGCGTGTGACCAGTGTGTAAGAGAGTGATTCTCAGTGAGTGAACAGGAGGATCACAACTGTAACATCTTGTATTCATATTTAATCCTAAAGTATTTAGATTCAATTATTTATCATTTAATTTGGGAGTAGAATATAACTATCTGGGATCCTGAAAAACTCAAAGTGCTACTACAATTCAGCGATGAGAGAATTGACTGTTTGTTTTAAATCTGTGGAAAAATTCTGCTTTGTGCAATGTAGCTCGATTATTTATCTTTCACCAGCAATTATGAATAAATACATTTTTTGCTATTTTGCTGTGACCTCTTATGACATATGGTTCCAGAGTTTGACTGATTAATCATTTGGCTGATTATATTGGCTGATATGAGCATTTCAGACATAAAGGTGTGCATTCATTTTACATAAGAAATATCTTTATTTTCTTAATTCATCATCTATATATTTGTTTGTAGTTTTTCTTTTATTTATCATTATTTATAATTTAGTTTATGAGTATGAGTAACGTGTCATAATGGTTTAATAACGATGTTGAGCTGTAGTTCCATGTGTTAAATCGATTTAGCTTCATGAACAGTTTAGAGATCTTTATTTAAAATATTACAAAATCGATTTTTCAGAAAGCCAGAGAAAGGCATCCAGTACCTGACAGAGAGGGGATTCATCCCTGACACGCCGGTCGGTGTGGCTCACTTCCTGCTGCAGAGGAAGGGCCTGAGCCGGCAGATGATTGGAGAGTTTCTCGGCAATCGGCAGAAACAGTTCAACAGGGATGTCTTAGAGTAAGTGTGATTTTGTTCTTCCTCAACTTTAGAATTGTTTGATAAAATCAACCAGAGAAAAAGAAAAAAAAGAAAGAGAACATCTCTTGGTGAAGAACTTATGAGCATTCATTTCTTCTCTCTCCATCCGTCCCTGTGTGCACCAGCTGCGTGGTGGATGAAATGGACTTCCAGAGCATGGAGCTGGACGAGGCCCTCAGGAAATTTCAGAACCACATCCGTGTGCAGGGCGAGGCCCAGAAGGTGGAGCGGCTCATCGAGGCTTTCAGGTGAAACATATTGACGAATGAGTGACAACAACACAGAAAGATGCAGAGGAATAAAACTGAAATATCAATTAATTGAGAGCATGAATGAAACACAGATCCATCTGTTTGTATGATTAAATCCTGAAACACTGTGTTTTATAGTGTTTTTGAAGTAAACCTTTATTGCTCAGTGTATTATCTTTCCTGCTAATGTTCCTCTTTTGTCACGATTGTAACCATTACGCAAAGAGAACCATTACTTCTGCTTTCTCCGAGCCATGTTCAAAGCATTTCCTCCCTGTGAGCACAATAGCTTTGCTTATCTAAGCTTTGTCTTAAATTGAATTTGCATCACGGTTACTCTCCCCCCTTTCGTGTTTCTAGCCAGCGCTACTGCATCTGTAACCCCACAGTGGTGAGACAGTTCAGGAACCCCGACACCATCTTCATCCTGGCCTTCGCCATCATCCTCCTCAACACCGACATGTACAGCCCCAACGTTAAGCCCGAGAGGAAGATGAAGCTGGAGGACTTTATCAAGAATTTACGAGGTGATAAAACAAATGACCAATATGAAACACTGTTGTTGAATAAATATATTATTTATATCTTTATTCTATGTGATTTACTGATATTTAAGAACGTGCTATATGTGGGATTCACCGTGTAAATTGGAAATGCACTTGTCATTTGTAATCCAAATAATAATATTACTTCCTCTTCTCTGTTCCTCATTTCAATTCCTACTGTACCTCTTCTGATCGGTACGTGTGATTCAATAAAACCCTTGATTTTTACATTATAACTCTGCTCCTCCCTCTGTTCCAGGTGTGGACGATGGAGAGGACATACCCAGGGAGATGCTGGTCGGTATCTATGAGAGGATCCGCAAGCGAGAGCTCAAGACCAATGAAGACCACGTCTCACAGGTGCAGAAGGTCGAGAAGCTCATTGTGGGGAAGAAACCGGTGAGTGGTGATTATATCGAGCAGATTAAGTATCAGTTGGCATTCGTGATTTATCATTTTCCTCAAAACATGACTTAATTCTCTGAATTATCTTCCTCCAAGGTGATTATGTTTTCGTCAACGTTATTTAGCAGGATTATGCAAAAACTACTTTTCGGATTTTCAGAAAACTTAATGGAAGAATGCGTGTGTGTGTGTGTGTGTGTGTCCATTGTCATTTTCTCTAACATGATGAGAGAGGGTGTTTTTCAACATTGTCAGTGATTTCTCAGAGAAGAATTCATGGAGATTGATGATAATAAAAAAAATCTGGCATATTTATGGGACTGATATCTCTGACTGTGTGAAATTTGCTTGTTTTATGTTCTTTAGTCAGTTCTCACACTGCTGCATCTCCCCAGAGTCACTTTAAATAAACAACAATGTCATGTCTCTTCCAATTTTCTAAACTCAAAATGTTGAGAGATTAATTCTCAGAGGTAGAAGAGGGATTTAGAAAATCTTTGGGTGTTATTGTGCAGGGAGGGATTCACGCCTGGGCTTAGACCTTCATGCTGTTGATTTTAATGCACCCGAAGCCCTTGAGCAATGTCACCCAGCGCTGCAGTCTGATGAAAAATGGACACTCGCTGCCACCTCAGTGCATTACAGTTCCCAGAGGGAGAAGTAGTTGAACACTGCAGTGCCTTCACAAACCACCGTACGTTACGTTAGAATAATCTGCTGATTCAGTCAATTTGTTACTCTTCCTCTTCGAGATATTTGTTGCTGTAGGATGGACTGAGTGGAATTTGATCGGTCACTGTGACCTCACAAAACACATCTTTGGCCAGAACACAAGGTTTCATATGGTAAATAGAAGGATGCTTGGAGAGCGTATACCTCAGCTTAGGCTCTGGCCTAAGTGAAGTCCTGTATTTGCTTATTTATTTATTCAGATCCACTCAAAAATGGGATGTTTTCTTCCTTTAGTCAAGCCCCACCCCTCCACACAGTTTCATGAAAGTTAGTTCTGTAGTTTTTGAGAAAACCTGCTGACAAACGTCTAACAGAATGAAATGATGTGAAGTGATGACAGTTGATACCCAGAAGGTCAAAGTTCAGCTTCACTGTGAAGTTGCAATTTTCTGTAGAAACAGTTTTCTGGCTGTAGCTCAGGAGCACAGGGGGAGACTGTGACCTCATTTCACATTTGGTCGGACACTGAATTGATGCTGCAGACCTTGATACTGCAGCGATTGTAAAGATCTCATGTGCGGCTGCTTTGATAATCTGTGTGAATCATCCACGTTTTAGAACCTGAAGCTTCTCAGCAGAAAAAACAACATCTACTGGTGACAGCTTCATGTCCTGTGAGAAATAAGCAAGAAATGTGACCATTCTTTTTCTGAATGAACTTGCACACTAATACAATAGATAAACAGCAATCACTTTTATTCTTAAATCAAAAAATAACATTCATACCTTTAATTCAATTCCTATTGTCTTCACTGCACACATATTGTACATTCAACTGCAATTTGACTGGTTTGCAGAGATATACAACCGGAAAGCATTAACTTCAGTTTCTGAACTAGAACAATTATCATATTTAGCTCTGACTGTGCTGCAGCCCCTCCGGAGCAGGGGATTTTCTGCATTATTCTTCAGGTAAAGATGAGTCTTTCGTGTGTGAAGGTTAAAAGTGTGATTAACCTGTGCAGCCTCAGGGAGAGGCTCGTCTTGCTCGGATGACTTTGTTTCCGTCGGTTTCCCGTAGGTTGGAATCTTGTCGATTCTGCCAGTAATAATTGAATGCATTGAAAAATGATCCCTCGTCACCATTTAGCCGCAGCGTTAAAAGCCCAGGAGAGCACTCACTTAAAACACGTCAACATAAAAACCAAGTTGGAATTCCTCCTTGTAATTATCAGGACTAGTAACGCTGCACAGTGTGGCTTCCAGGAGACGTTCAACATCATTACAGACTCCCTGAAGCCCAGCAGCAGAGAAAGATGAAGAAAGACCACCACCTTGTGTACAAAGGCTGATGCATCTTCATGGCCACTTTGAGATAATAGAGAAATCCTAATATGTCCTCTTTAATAAGTGTAAATAATCCCAATATAACAAATGCATCACATATCATTATGTCTGTCTTCTGTTTTTAGATTGGAACCCTCCATCACGGCCTCGGATGTGTAAGTAAACTAAATACCGATAAATCTTACTAATATTCATGAGATCATTATTCATTCCTGTACTTGGATCTTGCAGTTAATGCACATCACACAGGTAGAGTGAGCGTTTGATTCCCTACTGAGGCCCAACAAAACATCACATCTGTTGACAGATCAGCGGTTTATGCTGAAGCTTGCAGACAGAATCAACAGACATGGGGTGAATTCTTTGTTTTGGCAATGAGCTGCAGTGTTTCTGCAGAGTCTGTGCTCAGCAGGGTGCACATCACTGCTGGGTGCACGGCACGCTGATGTCTCTATCTCACAAAATGAACTGTATGTGTCCAATGTGGGTGGATTAGGTATCAGATTCTTTTAAAGCCTGAGTTAAGCCTATAAGAAGTTCCATTAATATTTATTGCAATGTAGTTGCCATGGTAAACTTGTTTTTGACTTGTTTTCAAGTCTCCATTAATTATTTATCAGTTTGCGCCTATATATAAATAAAGGTAACCATAGCAACAATACTTATGCCTCATGCTATGTTAACACTGGTAAAACAAATTGGCTTTCGGGTGAGTTTAGACCGGTCCTGAGGCCATAATAATCTTTGAAGTCTTGATGTCCGTGCTCATTTTTCTTTCTTCCTCGTAGGTTCTGTCGCTGCCTCATCGTCGGCTGGTGTGTTACTGTCGCCTGTTTGAAGTGCCAGATCCCAACAAGCTCCAGAAGCTGGGCCTCCATCAGCGGGAGATCTTCCTGTTCAACGACCTCCTTGTGGTAAAAAGCCTCCTCTCTCTGTTCTCCTCTGTTCTCCTCTGTTCTCCTCCCCTCTGTCCTCCTCTCGTCTCCTCTCTAGACCAACCTCTCTCTCCGTTTGTATTATTTTCAGGTAACCAAGATTTTCCAGAAAAAGAAGAACTCGGTGACGTACAGCTTCAGACAGTCCTTCTCTCTGTATGGGATGCAAGTCATGCTGTTTGAAAATCAGTGTAAGTTGCACCGGGCGTTTTCTTTTATCTGTCGTCTGTAGCGTGTTAGCGTGACAGTGTTTACATCAGCCGGTTTGATTTAGCACAGTAACACATCCAGCAGAAATGGGAAGTCAACCCAATGGGCTGTGACATTGTTTATCGTCTCCAAACTTCACACAGATTCGTTCGAATGTGTTTTAACTTGGTTTTGATCAATGGCCCCTTTATAAAGCTCTCTCCTGCTGTGCTTGTTGCCCCAGATTACCCAAATGGAATCAGACTCACATCAGCGATACCAGGTGCGGACATCAAAGTCCTCATCAACTTTAACGCGCCCAACCCCCAGGACCGCAAGAAGTTCACAGATGACCTACGAGAGTCCATCGCAGAGGTCCAGGAAATGGAGAAATACAGGATAGAGTGTGAGCTGCCTTTTCCTCCATCCTCCTACCCTCCCCCTCGTCTACCTCGGGCTGTGTAAAGTAGAAACAGGGCATGGTTCTCATTCCTCTACTGCAGTTTATGAGGGAGGGTGTTTACATGATGGCTAACAGAAGGGAGAGCTTTCTTCTCCTGGACATTTGAAAGGCAATTCTGCTGTGACATACAAGACCAGGATGTTGGATATTATGTAGACTAGTGCAGTGCCTGTTCTAAACATGCCTTTTTGGAATTTGCTTGTCCTGTGTTGATGTCCGGTGCAACTTCAGAGCTATTCCTTGTCATTAGTGAGTCCTCCTCCAACACTTCTATGATGCAGAGTGAGTTGGTTTAAACTTGGTTTATCTGCAATGAAGATTTTACATCAAACTTTTTCATAAAGTGAAACAGAATTTGCTTTACTTCTGGTCACATGTGTGGTTTATATATACAAATTATTGTTTGACTGAACTGTTCTAATTTTTTATTGAGTTGCATGTCGGCAATTTCAAAAGTCTGTTAAGCAACTGACACAATCTTCCGACCCAAGTTCACAACTTAAAAAAAAAGAGTGATCCTACGGAGTTCAGCACCAGCGACTCACGTGAATTTCTTGTGTCAGTCCGATATGGTGAAATAAAAACAATCAAGTTATCAAGACGATGTGGTGGCGATTTCGACCCAGTTGCCGACCACTGCTGTAGTTTATCCAGGAACTTTAACACACACTCCACACTGCACTTTCTTGGGCAATTTAAAACACACATGCTAAGTGGGAAGCAGATTAAATGAACGACAGACAGATGTTTGTGGAGTTAGTAGGTAGCTATATGAATAGTGCACGTTCATGAGTTTCAAACAACAAAAGGTGACTGAATAGTTCTCAAGTGTTTTCTCTGGACAGATTGAGATAAAAAGCCACTGCCACTTACCCCAGTCTCTCCTTGGCTCCTCTCCACAGCTGAGCTGGAGAAGCAGAAGGGGGTGGTGAGGCCCAGCTTGTCGCAGAGCTCCGGACTGAAGAAGGAAGCGGGCAACGGCAGCATGAACCGCGCCAGTCTGGACGACACCTACACCATGGGAGAGGGCCTGAAGAGGAGTGCCCTCAGCAGTTCCCTGCGAGACCTCTCCGAAGCAGGTACAGCCACAACATCTTTGTTTCGACCAGCCGGTTCCTGCACGGAGACGTGTTCTCCTCCTGTCATCCACTCAACTGTGATGACGCCAAGGGGATAAAAAAATAGCAAAATGTTGTTTCACGACACCATACATCGACTTCAGAGTTCTCCCGTCTAAATCCACTCTCTAACTCACTCATGATTGAATTGTTTGACCGAGGCAGGTACTTTCAGTGTGTTTCAGAGGAATTCAAAGACTGAATACAGACCTACAGCATTTGAGAAGAGGGTAATTGTTGAGATCGATATTTTCAGACGTGTCTTCTCAGTGATGAATGAAATTGACAGGCAGTTGTCACCACCCCCCAAATCATCTGGATGAGTTTGCATTACGCTCCCCTTCATGGTTTAATTGTCAGTTTTTCTTTTTAACTTGGCACTTTTGTTTTGATCCAAAGACATCTCATGTTTTAAAAACCACGCAGCATTTCCTCTCACGTGCATCTGTGAACCCGACAGACGTGTGCTGACGCTCACCATTCAGAAGCAGCAACAGGATCACAATGAAGTGTCAGTCATTCTCACGTCCATGAATATCAGTGTTTAACGCAGCCGCTGTGTCTCTGAAGCACCGAACACATTTCATTCATTACAGATAACAGCTATGGGAAGTTATCGGGTGATTAACTCGATAACGAAATGAAATCCAGTCAGGGGGTCTGCCTCACGGTTTGGCACCGTGATACGCTGTGTTCTCACGATCACTTCCTCAAGTAGGTCAGACAGTGAAGAAGTACGTAGGGATCCCTCCGCCCTCCTGTCTCCTGTTTTTTCTCCACACAGGACGTGGCATGTTAGTGGGGTCATTTTTGTTAAGTGTTTTTTTGTTTTGTTTTTCCTGCCATACTCCATTTCATGTGTATTTACTGTGTTCTTTTTCCCATACACATCAGGTATTTTCCTGTTTATGTGTGATTATTGGTCATGTGTCATCGGCTGAGTGTGCCTAACAACGGCTAAAGTGCTGCGTTCGCCCTCAGACCTGTAATATGCCTGTACATCCCATGTGCAACAACCACTGTACTGCTTTTAATGTGTCTCCTCCTTTGTGACTGTCACTGAGACTGGCTTTTGCCAAAATAGACCCTTAAGGAAATCTATGTTTTGTGGCAACATTAAAAACCAGTCAATCAAATCTTCATCAAGACAAAAATCTGGGGGGAAAAAATGTATCTAAGTTCGTAGAAAACGTTATGTTTGACGTTTTCTTGCTCTATTGACCTCGATGCTAACAGGGACCACACTTATCTCAAAATATACATTCAAAATTTCAATATCACTTAAATGAATGAGACTGCAGTTTTAAATGCGTTTTTAAAACTTGACTCATTGAAATTTCAATGCAGATTTAGTTTCCACCCTGAGTGAAGATGTGACGTCACTGCACAGTATAGCCACAGTGCCACCTCTCACCCACCCCAACGCCCTCTCCCTCTCTCGCCCATATTTGAACTTTACTCACAATCACAACCCATTGCACTGCCCCCTACGGGTCGGGTGGGCAGCCGAAACGTCTCTGTAGTCGACCCAGGAGTGCTGTCGATCTCTAATCTGTGGTATTGCATGTCTCGGGCAGGCAAGCGGGGGCGTCGCAGCAGTGCAGGATCACTAGACAGCAATATGGAAGTAAGTTTGAAGCAGCTGGTATCCAAGCTACTCTCTATGTGATGATGTGCACTGTGAAAACACACCATTTATTTTTGGTCTTACACCTTTTGCTTCATAGACTCAGTTCATTTGTTTGGATCATTTATTTTTCTTCCTGGGATGCCTTATGTAACCTGCTTGCCTCAGTTAGTGTGCATGCATGGGTTGCCTGCCTCTGATCATGCCCCTTTTTTTGGAAGCCAGAACAGATCTCCTGTTTTGGTCATGTTATATGACCGATATACACTTTATCTTCAAACAAGCATGACTCTACTAATCCTTCCTCTGATCCCCCCTCCCCCTTTGTTGCCTGTCTCTGTCCTTCATTCAGTCACATCCAGCGGTTTTCATTTGGTTTCTCTTCTTCTCTGTGGCAGGGTGGTAGCTCTGTAAGACACTAGAAAACAGTACATCTCCTGCAGCACATATCGCTGTCCCCGTCTGTCTTCTTCTCTCTCTCTCTGCAGTTCCTCTGTAAGCTTCAGGGAGGAATGTAGCCTTCATAGTCAGAGGTGGACTGATTTTAATAAAGACAAATGAAGATGTGGATTTCATTCATTCATCCTTCACTCATTCCATGTGTCCATGAGTTTCACGTGTTGGGCTGAAGTCTTGGACCCTGCAAATTTCATTCTGCTCTGCAAAGTCGTCACGTGGTCTTTCTCCAGTCGTAGATGAAGCTTATGCGAAAGGAAAAGCTTTTCTAGGAGAAGTGACTTTGTGAGCAGTGGGTAGTGTTGGACCAGATCTGGGGGGGAAGAGTGTACAGGCCTGTTGTGACGTCTGCACACAAGAGCTTAGTTCCTCCTACCTTCTGATTTCTAGTTGAATGCTTGTGTGTGGATGATGAGTTTGCCTGTCACATCCTCTGCATGTGGAAACTATGCCTCCATTGGTTATAACATGTTGCATGTGTGACTCTTAGAGGGTTTGGCGCACTGACTGCAATGAAGTTGAAATGTTGTCTTTCTTTGCCCTTGTTAATGACATTATTTATGATTTTGTTACAGATTTTCAGGCCAGTTAGTTCCTCAACAACAGCTTTTGAACATAGACTCCCTCCACTGTGAAGTGTTTGCCCAAGCTGAAATATCCCTAGTGTTGCTGCTGCCTATCATGAAAACATTTTTAGTTTCCCATTTGCATGCCCTATAACATTTTGCTACTTGTTTATCTGAAAAAAGACAACTGTGAAGTCATCCTGCTGATGCCTGGCAGCTGTAGCACTTGCACAGTGTCTAATGGACATGCTGTCACCTTCTCTCCTCCCTGCAGGGGTCCATCATTAGCAGTCCGCACACACGCCGGAGAGCCACCACGCCGAGAGAGGGCGCACCCCGCAGCCAACCCCCCAGTCAAGCCCCAATCCCTAACTCAGCATCAACTTCCATACTGGGATCGCTCTTTGGAAGCAAGCGAGGCAAACCACCATCCCAGAACCACCCCCCTTACCCTCAAGCCGGCCATCCCACCCTCATATCCCACAAGCCCCACCCGACCAACCTGCACCACACAGCACAGTCGACGCACCCGGTGCAGGCCCAACACCAAGGTCACCATCCGCAGTACTGCCAGGTCCCACAGAACCCGCCGCCTTACCACCACCACCACCACTATCACCCCCCTCCCCACACGCAGTACCACCAGCACCCGACCTACGCCTCACACTCACACCAACACGCCCACCCACAGCACAGCCACTATAGCCAGCATTCCCATCACAGCTCACACTCCCAGCACGCCGCCCACCACCACAGTCAGCAAACGGGTTCGGCACCTGGCGGACCCAAACCCAAACACAGTGGCATCAGCACCGTAGTGTGATGCTCCGAACACAGAGAGGAGACCCAAGGAGGGAACTTAATGAAGGAGGGACAATTGCTTACACCAAAGGGACTGACAGCATAACTCTATGGCCTGTCCACTGTGTTTTACTGCTGCTGTGATGGGAACCAGTCACACGCAGTCACCTGTTTCACCTCCGGGTCCAACTAATATGCAGGATGGAAATCGGACTCAAATCTTCCACCAGGGGCCTTTACTAGTTTGCCTGATCGTGGGCTTGGCCCTATCAGGGTCTTGTGGGTGGGGGTGGGTTCTGTACAGGAAGATGTTCTTTATTTTCCACACACACCCCCCCGGCCGTGACGTCAAGTCGCTCCCCACTGCCTCCTCCCCTCAATAGCCTCAATAACCTCCCTCTTACCTTCACATAATCAGGAGGACAGATGACCAGAGATGAGAAAATGGCCGACCTCTTTCTCCGTCACAATGATAGCATAAATTCTTGTGCACCACCTTTTCTGAAGTCAACTTTCAACTCTTTGCGTTGCAGATCCTTCCACCATACGAATGCTCTTTGTTGTTGCCTCCCTCATATGTAGTGAAGAACGTAGGTATAATCATTTCACACTAACTGAAATCAAAGGACAGGTGTGCAACCAAGTGGACCATCTCAGTCATAGTAGTTCTAGTGCTGTATTTACTGTAGATTACAGCTATACGTGTTGTCTCCTAGCTCTCATAAATAAATGTGCCAATTATTAATGCATAATCTATTTAGTCAAGACTTCATGTACAGTATATTGTGCGTAAAGTAATTTGTAAGATTATACTTACAATTATTATTATTATTATCAGCAAAAATGAATTTTATCAGTATTATACTGACTCTGTGGTAAGGGGACATAGATCTGGAAGGAGTGAACTCCCATTCAGTCCAGCCTAATCAATTCTGGAAAGGTTTTGCCTTTCAAACGGATCAGACGGAGCCTCTGGATGGCAGCTGTTGCATATTCGGGCCCCAAAATGGCGTGCTGTCACAGCGGAGGCCTCAATGCAGACTTCCTGTCAACTCTCTCGAATGATAAACAGGCTGATTGGTTGTTTTAATCTCAGTTTACTTCTCGTACTGTGGCTGCTCGGACTGTAAAAAAAACAAAGTGAGGAATATCAGGAGTGGAAAGACGCGTTCATGTTACGAGCACAGAGCGTGTTAAACACGTGAAGTCTGTTGCCTTTCTCATATACAACAGCTGCTCTCTTGACTCTTAAAAAAAATCAAAACACGGAAAATATCTTTTCAAATCTTATTTTGCCTTGTTTAGCATTTTTTTTAATTCACCAACGAGGTTTGGTGAGAGAATAAAAATCAGTTCTTACATAGTGAAGTATTTTTTTCATCTTTTTTCTATCATGTGTGCAATATCTTTGTACTGATTTTGTACATTAAGAACAAGCAAGGTGTCCCTCCAATTTGTGTGTTTTTCATGTAACGTCATTATTTATTTATTTTTGTTTTTGACCCCTGTCAGAGTCTTTCGGTAAATTAATGTGCGGCTGTCCTCGTGATCTCATGAGGAGGTACAGACTTGGAGTTCAGTGAAATTTCTAGTAAGTTTTTCCTTTGGTTTTGCATGTAATGTTATTGACGTGAGGCTATCCTCTGCACATTGTATAACAAATCAGTGTTACCATAGCAAGTTTAAGTGCAATCATGTTCAGAAAATTCAGACTTGTACCGAAAGTGGAAGTAAGTCTGTTATCTTGTTGTCCAGGATGAGATT